TTTCAAATGATTGACAGTTAATTGTTCATTATTTATTTATACATCGTTTTTTTCTTTTCTCTCTCTCTCTCTACTTTTTTTCTTATTTTCATGAAAAGAATCAAGTTTTATTACTGTGTCTTCTTTCTGTTGTCGTGAGTACAACGAGAGAAGAAAACACAACAACAAAAAAAAACAATAACAAACTAATCAATGAATTATCTTAAATGTGTTAAAACAATAATTTTCATTAAACTATTTCAATATTCATTTCATATACTTTTTTTCTTTTTGTTTTCTTCTTCTTTTTCTTCTTTTTCTTCATCTACTACTACTTTTCTTGAATAAGAAATCATGTCGTTTCTTATCAGTCATACAACGATGACCACTATGGTTACTACTACTACTACTACTACTACTACTACTACTACTACTACTACTACCATCAGTATTAGTAGTAGACACATCTTTATTTAATACTTATCACTATATGATAGGTGTATCATTTACATTGTTTTAAATAAATGATCATGTTTCAATAGTAAACAATATGACTTGTGTTATGATTTATGAGTTATTTATCTACCATATAGAGATATATATTACTTAAAGAATATTTAGTTGTATATAGTTAATGTCAATAGTTATGATTAGTTTATATTATTAATCCTTCTATTACTTTTCATGCAACGTGTTGTCTACTCTATTCTATGTATGTATGTTTATACATTTACGTGTATTGTTGATTATAATGATGATGATTATTATTATTGTTTACCTGAATATCATGAATACGAATGAATTGAATGATTTCCTACACCAAATTCACTTCATTCATTCATTCATTCATCAATCTATCCATCTATCCAATCTTTAAAACAATTCATTGGCATATGTTCAATTATATATATATATATGGATATTCAATGATTTAATTTCTCTTGTCTTATATACATGATAGATCGGATATTATTGGATATTCCATGTCACGTGTGTGAAGATCATTCATCAGGAAAACATTATGGTATCTATGCTTGTGATGGGTTAGTAAAATTATTATTATTATTATTATTATTATATATTAATGATATGGGAATGAGTTTATTAAAGATGTTCAATAATCAATATACAAAGTTATATGGTATTGTTTTAATGAATAAAACATTGTTTTTTTTGTATTGTGTTACAATAGATGGTGTCAGTTGTTGCCAATTTATAGATGTTGTAAAAAGTGATTAACTGTGTCCAAATTTATTCGACAAGAATATCATGTTTGTACTTGTTGTATTCATATGATACCTATATATACATACACGTGTATACAAATAATTGTCTCTCTGTTAAAGAAGAACATATTCCAATGTTCAGTTATATATATGTATAGTAATTATTACAGTTGAGATCATGAGTCAATTGAAGCTAGACCACTATGGAAAACTTCGATGCACCGGACCGTCGTTTCATCCTAGGGACTCCTCAGTGGCAGCACGCGACCACGATTCCACCTCGCGAGATTGGGACCTAGCACCTATCAGTCTTGTACGCGAGCGCTTAACCATTGGACCATTGAGGAGTCCCAATAGGCACGAAATGACTGTTTAGTGCTTCCAGGTTTTCCATGGTTGTTTAGCTTCAATTGACTCATGAATTTAACAATTAAATTACTATAATATCCACAAGACCCCTCTATGATTTTGGGGGAATTTGAAGATTTTTCAGATGGATTGAAAATTTGAGAATTTTTTTGTGGGTATAGATAAATCAATCAGTCAGTAACAGCGTAAAACTTCGTACGTAGGTACATCAGTTCGAGTTGCCACACCACATTAGCACAGAGATGCAGTTGTCGATTCAGATCTCTTAGTGGTAGAGGCGGTAAGAGTATAAACAATAGGGTTTGAAGATGTTATTAAAAAAGAGCATAATCCAGTGAAATATATTTGGAAAGAGAAAAAAAGAGACAAGGAGGATTCACGAAATTAGAATTTGGGAGAACACAAAGAGTGGATGCACCTGCGTCATTGCAAACGATTTTGAGCCATATCATTCAGGGTCTCTAACCATCGGTTGCTTTCATCTCGCGGTCCCCAACCAGGTAGTCTACACCTACCAACATGACTCAGTCCACTTGTCAGTGACTTCATGGACTTTTGCCATTTGTTGGTCTGGCCACCCCTACCTTTCTTCCAATCTATTCCTATACAACAAAACATCGCACATCTAGGCAGTCGTTGGTTGGGCATAGGTAACACGTGTCCCAGTCATCTCAACTGATGAAGTTTCATTACTTCATCAATTGATTTTCCATCCTTACCTATTACCCGTTTTCTAACAACTGTGTTACTTGCTCGATGGTCCCAGGATATACGAGCAATGCTTTGAAGACATTTATGATCGAATACTAGTAACCTACGGATATCCTCTACTCTTACCGGCCATGTTTCACTGCCATAAAGTAGGACGGAACGAAATGCTGCTCAGTAAACCCGTCCTTTGTTTGAAAAAAGAACTAGAAGAGATTTATTCATCTTCATAATGATTGTAGTGACATAGGTGAATGATGAAATTTTTCCGGCTTCAGTTATATAATGTCTTTAAACCAATGAATCAGTTTGGATATTTCTTTTCTAACCATCAAAAATACAATTGGATTCTCATATGTTTATTGTTTGATAATAGTGTAAAAATGGTAAGATCATATCATGATATGAAATTCCTAGTTTCGAATTGTTAACATAATAAGAAATCTTCATGAGTAAATTGTTGATAAGATCTAATTCAAACAATTTAATAATGGAAATCTGAACATCATATACATTGAACAATTTAACAATTATCTTAAATTAGTAGCTTAGCATAAAATACATTGGTATTTGAAGAGTAAAATATTGAGATTTCAGCCCTGTCCACTTGATAAGTACTGAACCGGACGAAACACACATTTTAGATTCCACAACCATCTATCCTACTTTAATAAAAGCGTATAAGTAAATGGCAATATACAAGCAATCTACTCAGAATAGATACACATCATTAGAGACTGATTAATTCCACACATTAATATGAATTAATGGAAAATCCAAACTGTTATCAATAAAATGAAACAGTTTCTTAATATTTACTTGTTATCTAGTGATTGATATAAGTCTATAAAATGTGGGAAGTGTTTTTCTGTTTACTTACAAGTAGTTTGAATAAGGTGACTTTGATTTTATTCCATAGAAACGAAAATTGCCAGTGGTAAGACTACAATTTATGGACGACCTTTGAGCGACGCCAGACTGACCTTGAGAGTATCCACTAATAACTAGGATTAAATGAGGGTTATAAACCAATGTGAGGAATTAGAATTATGGTTTACAGTTTGATAGTTAAGGTTGGGAATTAGATTTAGGGCTTTCATCCTATTGTGGGACTCCTCAGTGGCAATACACATCCACGATCCCACCTCATGAGATTCGAACCCAGGCCTATCACTAAAGCACTGAGTCAGTCGGCATCCAACCGTGTTAATGTCTAAATTTAACCAATCCACGAAATTGAGCGACACATCCATCATTGTCATCAGTGAGTTACTATCTCCCAACTGACCCAGTTAAACTCTACTGTTTCTCACTAGAACTCTAGGAAATACATCTTGGCACCAGTCACTAATGAGTATATGTTGATTAACATCAGAAGGGATAGTTTGTAGTTATTATTATATTTCTTTGTTGTCATTAACTTGTATATTAAACGTTTTCAATGCACTAATGTTGTCTGTGTTCTTTTCTTTCTGTTTTGCTTGAATTTACCTCATGTAATTGCACCTTTATGATAATGTGGACTATTATCGTTTACATGTATAATTGTATAAAATACTACTACTAATAATAAATATTAACGACCACAATACATTGACACTTATGAAATTGATTGATTCTACTTGATTGATATAGTTGTGCAGGATTTTTTAAAGTAAGTTAATCATAATGATGATGATGATGATTTGTTTAAATATAAAGAAGTAAAGTTACGTGTTATATTTGATTTTGGTTTGAATATTGAGCTAATAATATCCGCACTTTTTTCATGCTTTACTCTTAGTAACGTCATTGCTTACAAATAGCTTGTGAATTAAGGCAATATCGAGGCATACGCACAATATGCACATATGTCAATAACAGACTGATCAATTGAGAAGATACAAGCCAAACAATACCAAGTGAATGTTGATATTACTTCAAATTTAAAAAAAACAAAAACGGATGTACTTTCAGGTAGCAGGAAACACTGGACAACCATTTCAGTGGTTGTCTAACTTTTGTCCATTTGCTTTATGACCTTAATAACATCTAACAATCTCAATAACATTCATACTGACAATTACCATGTGCTCATTAGTGATTAGTTTCGCGGAGGGGATTTCCGGAGTTGTAATGATAAACTGTGATTAATGGATTTTAATAATGTTATATGTGAGGTAGCTATCGATTGAAGACAATAGAATATGGTTACGCTGATTGAAGTTAGAAATACAAACCATTTGATGATGACCCAGTGATTTGAATGTAAAGTATCCTCAATAAGCTTATGGATGCGCACTTCTGAGGAATCCTGTATTAGAACGAAATAGATGATCAGGATTTCTTAGTTTTTAGTGTTTATCTAATGTAGGTCGATTGATAGTCTTTATAGCCCTTAACAACCTTCACAAATCTCCAAACCTATTGTACATTAATCTTTTTCCTCTATAGTTCAAATTCTATCTTCTTATGGAATTCTATTTCTATCAGTACATTTTATATATATCTAATCCATAAATGATAACCATGATAATCAGTGTACATGCAAATGCTACATTTTCTCCAAGTTACCAGTAAACCTGCTTAACATTCATATTTATGATTTTTCTTTTCTATTCACCATCATTCATATTACTGATAAATTCATTCACTACTAAAAAAAAAACGTAGAAAAACTATCATGAAGCGATTTTAGCTAAACAATGATTGAAAACGAGAAACAATTGTGAATAGGTAATGGGTCATCTTAGTAATAAAACTAATCTGTACTATGTATATTCACATTATGTAACTAATTGAAATGTAATTCATCATTTTATTTGTACTTCTATAAACTCTCTTCCAACCCCTTCTCCTCTACACTATCAATTTAGGACATTTACCAACAAAAAAAAAACAGGCCTCTTTCTAGTGATAAATACCTTGAGTATTATATTCATATCATATGATGTGAAGAAGAATAAATGTTTAAAGAATATTTCTGTACTCACTTCTGTCAATAAAAGATGAAAAAAGGGTCAAGTAATCATTTCAACTGTCAGTCATTTATATATGTAGAGATTTATATATCGTAACTCCTAATCATTTTATTCTTAATACTATGAATGATACTACTTATAATACCACTACTAACACTACTAATACTAATGCTACTACTAATACTAATACTACTATTACTACTAATGCTACTACTACTAATACTATTACTACCAATACTACTACTATTACTATTTCTATTACCTAGTAAGTTTAGAGATATTATTTAATGTAACACCAATGATGATGACAGTGATCTCATGATTTAAAAGGGATCCATATTGTTGTTTTACAGTTGTTTTAATCTATTTAAACAAACAAACCAAGATTAATGGTTTTACTACTGATAACATTGAATATTAGTAATGATAATAATGTTTATTAACAATGCGAGTAAAGATTAATGATGGCAACAAAATTTACAACGAAATCATTAAACTAAAAAGCTGAAATCATATGATTTTTCATAAGCATAATTATTATTATTAACTATTTCAATTCAATGTTTCATTTGTTCAATTTGGCTTTTGAAAAGCTTGACGTTTTAATTAACTAATTCACTCTCTCTTTCTCTCTAGGCAAATAAGTATGGAATAGCACAGCAGGTGGGCTATATAATTGAGCAGTACTTAAACTCTGTATCCTTCTCTCATTATATATATATATATATATATATACAAACGCACAAAGAGAGAGAGAGAGAGAGAGGTGAATGTATGTGTATCCATGTGTATTTGTAACACATCGACATGGATACTATCATGCTAGTAGATTCATTAATTTAATCTGAATAAACTCGTAGAAAGGGGGTGGATGGTTGAGAACTTGAACTATATAATGTCTTTTAATGAGTGAATTGCTTCAAAATACATCAATTTATTTGGGCGAGATCGTCATATTTATTGTAACAATTATATTTTTTTATACCAAATAGTACAATATTACTATTACTATAAGTAGTACTAGTAGTTATTGGTAATATTCAGTGTAACACTTGAACATTTCAAGCATAATCTCTTATGAAGTTATGCCTTAACATTATTGTTGAATCCTATATATGAACTAATAGTTGCCCAGTACACAGAAGATTTTAACGATAGTTTAAATAATGTTGATCTGTCATGAAAACTGTCTATATGTATATTTACACTAATCAGTATTTAATCAACGGAAATATCTGAATTATAATAACGTAGTGACAATGTCTTAGACTGGGAAATCAAGTTATGCGAGATCGAATATCACAGGGCGCTTCAGTCACTTCACTAGGAGCAGTGAGCTTTACTGATATTTGAAGTTCCCTGTTGACTATATTGAAACACCTTATATATATATATATATATATATATATATATATATATATATATTCTAATCTTTCGTTTATTAAATTGATCATTACTCATTTTTATAGAGATCTATACGACGTAATCGTCAGTATACATGTAAAAGTCGTGGTACAACAGTTGGCAGTAAATCTGGTATCGTAGTCTGTCGAGTGGATAAATCTCATCGTAATCAATGTAGAGCATGTCGATTAACTAAATGTCTTGAGGTTGGTATGAATAAAGATGGTAAGTTGTTGTTTATTTTAATTTTTAAATATTTAATGTTCATTTTATCAATTTATTATTTCTACACTATTAAGTTCCAGTTCAATGGTCTAAAGGTTGAACATCCACGTGAAAGATTGAATATCCTGAGTTCGATTCCTACCTACTGGATCTTCAAGGTGATATTCCCTAAAGATTGATCTTCTTTGAAATATCATTAAGAACCAGAAAAAGTGAATAGTTGTTTTACTTTCAAATAGGGAACCTTCAATAGTGATTACCTATGACATTATCAGAGATTAATATCAAGTCTTATGATGAACCCTACACTACTAGAATATCATAAACTGACCTTATCGAGATAACTGATGAAAACAAGAAAGTGTTAGATATTCGGCTTTATTCTATCACTATTGAACTCTTTATTATATATAATTTATGGACGGACCAATTAGATTTACAATAACAGGTTTTCGATTTTGGCGCGAAATTCTTTATCCATCTGGCTAAATACCTTCTTGGCATTTTAGCTAATGTTAGTTTGTGATGAAAACTTTAAATACGATTTCTAACCATATGCACCAAATGTAAATCACAGTCCCTATCCTTCATACAGGTTTAAAACCTTCATTTAGCTCAAGTCAGTAAGTAGATATTCTCAAGGCCACTTTAGCGTCGCTCAAAATTCGTCCATAAATTATAGTCTCATCAAGATTTAAAACGATTTCATGGTTTATCTGTTATGACTGATGATGATATTATTCAAGTGTTCTAATCAAATTAGATGGAGATCAGTATTTTTATGAACCATATGTCATAAGTTAAAAAGTCATAGTTTCATTGACTTCGAACAAATTTGTACATGTATACATGTATCAGCAAGTATGTATGTATGTAATGTGTTTTGGTATGAGCTCGTTCTTAGTAGAGTGTTTACTCCTAGTTTGGTTGAAAAACAAAGTTGTCATACTTCCGTATACATAAGTATTGTGTGTGTGTGTGTTCAGTATATAAATATGTACACAAATATATGTTTGTGTCTTGGTTCGATGTATAAGTGTGTAGAAGCATCAATTACAGAGAACGAGTTACTGTCTCTGTTTAAACATTTCATGAATATATTAATTTGTCTACTTATTATTTTAATACTTGAGATCATGAGTCCATTGAAGCTAGACCACCATGGAAAACCTGGAATCATTGGACGGCCGTTTCATACTATTGTGAGAGTCCTAAGCGGTAGTGCGCATACACGATTCCGCGCCGCGAGATTCGAACCCAGAACCTATCATTCTCGCGCGCGAGCGCTATTATTATTGGTTGTCATTAGTTATAATAATGATATTGTCACATAAACTCTAATGAACGTTCTATATATGTTTCTAATTTTAATGATATCTGTCAACTTGAAATTTTAAAAACATGACAGAGTTCTTTCATCATTTTATCTGAAGGATTCAGTAATGATAAGCTCATTTTTTTAAAGTGAATGAAATGCATCGTTGTGTGCATCCATACATATTGAGTATGACCTACATGATGGAAATACTGAAAAAAAATTAGACAATTGAATAAAAGCTGATTTGTCTGAGTGTAATCTATCTATCTAGCTATCTATCTCAGCCAGTCAGTCAGCTACAACGTAGGATCAGGCACATATGTGCATTGATCCAAGTTACCACACCTTACTCATTAGCACAACAAGACGAACAACGGATTCATAGAAGCAGTTAACTCAATGGTATAAGGTATAAAAGAAAGATTTTATATAAGAATGTAGTATAGACAGAAAGAATCAGTTCGTAGAAAGAAAGATATGAAGCGATTTTAATCTCATGGTTTAAGGGAAGATAGAGAGTGTATTCATCTACACCATTGTGATCGATTCTGAGGCACGTCACACAGAGTCTCAAACCATTGCTTACGATGGTCACACGGACCCCAACCAAGTAGTCTGTATCTACCAACATGGCTCAGACTAGAAGTCATTAACTTTAAGGACTGATGCTACGTTTTGCTTTGGCCGCCCTTAACTATCTATCTATCTGTCTAGCCACACATCTATCTATCTATACGTCTAGTTCGACTGACCGATCAACACAGATATTTCAGTTCTACAGGAGATTATTCGTTATCCTATCTCCTATAGTAATGACTGTGAGTATTGACAACATGTTTTCTTTTTCTCAAAATTATAACTGAAACAATTTATTATAGAAATTGTAAAACAATCAATTTTATAATTTCATTCATTCATTCATTCATTCATTTATTATATATTTACCGAATTAACAGTTTAAACGCATTGACTGTATGGTACTCATTCCACTTCAAGATCATACCATCACTATTGACATGACGATTGATTGTTTACATTGTTCACTTTTAATGACTTCAAAGTACTTGTTAACATTGATTTAACCTTTTTATATATATACAAATGTGTGTGTGAAAATGACTGTATAGATCATATATATGTATGTATGTATATGTGTACGTATGTTTGTATGCATGTACATATGTATGTATATGAATGTATATTGACTGTGCATTCACTATTACAATCACTATGCTGAATATTATGATTATTACTCCTGGAAAGTAATCTCTCACTTAATTAGTACAAATTATTAAATTAAAAAAAAAGTACACTTCTGTCAATTTTCAATTATCTTATTATTATTTTATATATTTTAGAATAAAATACATGGATAATACTACTACTAATAATAATAGTAATATAGTAATAGCAACAACAATAATAGTAATAATAGTAATAATACTACTAATAATAGTAATATAGTAATAATAATAATAATAATGACACATTAACACGTATTAACCAAACTTTATAAATCGATGTGAATTATTCAATTTATATATTAATAATGATGGTGAATGGTATTTTATATTCAGTGTAAAATACTTAAAATTCTATTATCAATTATTGATAGTAGAAATTTTTATTGTATTTAATATTAGAGATTTGATTAGTGATTTATACTTAATTATACAGTACTGTTACCCTAATGTTATGAAGGAGAATAGGTTATCTATCAATATTCTTTATTGATCTCTGTTCTGAATAATCATTTCTAGTTGTGTTTTCTGTTAGAACTCTTGGTTTTTACTTTGTCTAATGTTATAACGGTTGGGTTTTCACGTTAATTTACCTTAGACGAATATTTATACTAGATTCTCTCACAGGGTTTATTCTACAAGACTTTAACACAACTTAGATCAAGAACATGTGATTAGACTGATCACACCAAAAACCGACATAATCTAACAACAATGAACAATCAATAATAAGTGAGTATAAGGATAAGGGGAATATATAATTCATCTGACACTTGTCAGACTATCTACATATTTGACTAAGCAGACAACCAATCATTATCATTCTTGTCCATACATCATTTCCAAGTTGATATTCATCATTTCATGTCTCTTTTGGAATTCTCGGCATAATGTATTGTTTGACCTTTCTCTTTTTTTGTTTCCTTTCAGGATTTTAAGTTAGGTTTTGTCTCATGATGTAGTTTGATGATTTCTGAAATGTATGTTTTATGCACTTACACCATTTCCTCTTCAGCTAAAAACTAGTTTATCCCTTTACATAGTAGGCTGTTAATGATGGTATCCGGACAACGGACATTATCTTGAATAAACAATTGTTTACAAATACTTGAACTTTTTTGATGATGGTTATCGTAGTTCTGTAAGTTTCAGCTGAGTACAGTAGAACCATCTTGACGTTTGTATTGAAGATTATGTAGAACGGTCAGATCATTTGCAAAGTTCAAATCATATAATTGCATCGAAGTTGTCCATTGTATTCCATATTTCCCCTCAGATGTGAAGGTCTTCATAATCCAGTCAACCACCAGAAGGAAGATAAATGGAGAGAGTAAGCACGGTTGTCTGATAGTTAGTTAATGTAAAATTATTATAACGAGTACAATACTATTCAGTGGTATTTCTTTAGAAAATAAGCTTATTTACTGAATCATGTAATTTGTAGTTTGTATTTACCATAGATAAATATCAACTGAGAAACTATTGAGAATCAAGCAATAATGAATAATTATTTCATTATAGGCAATGTGTATACCCAACCTAGGACATTAAATGATGCTTTGGCAGTAATTAAGCTTCAAGCACCTAAACTGAAATTAAACGGTTTATATCTGATTTTCTTCCATCATTGATGAATTTCTTCAAGTTTAGAATGGTCTATACAGTTTTGATATCACAGAAGTTCATTCGTTAAGTTCAATTATATTCCCTTTGGAACTATCATACAGCAACAAAGTTTTTTTTCACTTATCCTCATTTTCTCATTATTTTATTAGTATAAACTCCACTAAGTAGATCTATAAAACATCGCTATCGATCATAGCTGCTACCTAGATGTACTAGTCGAAATTACCCATCATAATGATCCAGCTGAGATATATTTGTCAGAACGTTTACTTTTTTTTAGTATTTACTACACTATGTAAGTTAGTTAAAGAACAGTAAAACTAAAGGTAGTTAATGAATAATGCCTTCAAACATTCAATACATCTATATACTTTTCCCTTACCTATAAACACAATTCTGACTTCAACTTTTCATTTTCTAAAAAAAATACTCCGAGAAGGGGTTTTGTGGAGATTTTAGGAATTTCAATATTTGAAATCATGAGTCAATTGAAGCTAGACCACTATGGAAAACATGGAAGTACTGGACTGTCGTTTCGTTTCGTGATCGTGGATACGCACTGTTGAGGAGTCCCATATTAGGACGAAACGGTCGTCCAGTGTTTCCAGGCTTTCCATGGTGGTCTAGCTTCAATTGACTCATGATTTTTAATCAGTGAAAAAATATTCCATCTACATATTTCTATCCTCAAAAACTCAAGTCTACTACAATCGTATACGAAAGTATACAATCAACATTAAAATTACCCATTAATTAATCTAATAATAACTATTCTTATCAGTAAGGGGTTTTGTAGACATTGTAGTAATTTTAAT